CCAACCAACATTTTGCTGCATGATCCCCAGCCAGGCGAAGTAAATGACTGAGGGCCCTACCCGGTTCCGTCAGGAAGAGCGGTAATAATTACTAATGATGCTACATTAATTGTGTGAATGAGAAATAGTGTATATACTTGTCATAATATTACTATTAATGACAATTTTCATAAAATTTTATTTATTTCATGGGGAAAATGGGGCATTATTATGTCAATAATCAACTTACGTCATTTCCATGATGGCAAGACCAGGCGCGGATCCAGGATTTCTTAGGGGAGGGGGCCCAACTATTTTTTTTTTTGCTCCCGAAAATTTGGAAGTCGCGCCGGCCAAAAAGTCCCTCAGTGTGGGGAGGGGGGGGGGGTGAGCCCTTTTATTTTTTTTTTTTTGCTCCCGGAAATTTGAAAATCGCGCCGGCCGAAAATTTGCTCAGTGGGGGAGGGAGGGGGGGGGGGAGGGGGGGGGGGGGGGGGGGGGGGGGGTAGTGATCACATTTTTTTTTTTTGGTCTTCGAAAATTTCAAAATTTGCATCCCCCTACCCCTTGAGCGCCAGGGGGGGGGGGGGGGCCCAACCTCCAAAAAGGGTGATAATCACGTGTTTTTACATGATTTTTTTCTCAAGGGGGGGGGGGCCGGGTCCCCGGCCCACCTGGGTCCGCCACTGGGCAAGACGCCCGCAAGGACCCTGAAAAATCAACCTACAGTTAGTTATTCCATTACCATTTGTATGTCATCTATTAAAATGGGCAATTACACGTAATGCGAACATTATTTATATAATATAGGTGATGCAAATAGCCCTTGAGTTAAATGTATACTTTATGTATTAATTAGCATGATCAATTTATGTGTGTGTGTGTGTGTGTGTGTGTGTGTGTTATGGGGGTTATTCATTCATTCATTCATATTCCGCAAATCATTCAATTTATGACAAATAGTTATATTGATTTGAGAAATGAATACAGAGAATAATTAACAAATTGAAAATTAGAATAAAATAATGGAAAACTGTGGAGGGGTCTACACTGAGAAGCTTATATAGCTTGCACAATGTAGACCCCTGTTGTCGTTAACACTATAATGATTTAGTTAAGCAAATTATTACAACAAAAATAGAAAATAAAACAAATACCATGAACCTAGTACGCTATATACAGATACAGTTACCGCGCGAGGAACAAAAGATGAATTATGTAGAGTCAAAGAGGTAAATACATATATATATATATATATATATATATTTATGGAGAGTTGAGTAAGCCCTGAAAGCACTCTTAACGAAAATACAATGCTCTGTTTGACTATGCAAGTCTTAAGTATGGGTCAAAAGTTTAAAAGAAGAATTTATGCATGATACTCGACAAGAAAATGAAAACCAAAGTTACTTATCTGTTTGTTGCAAATAAGGTAAAACATGTTACTGATATGAGTAGCAAACGTTTCTATAAACTAATACGTTGAAAATCCTTTACACTATTTAAATAATTTTGCATTTTCCGTCATTGGAATAAGTGAGACATGGTTACATCAGAATTCTCCAGATATGTTCGATTTGCCTAAGTATAAGTTGATTAGGGCGGACCGCAAAGGAAGAAGAGGTGGCGGGGTTGCGTTTTATATTACACAAAACCTAAATTTCAAAATCCGTTCCGATATCAAACTAACACAAGCAGAATCTTTATTTATCGAAATTAATAACTCAAATATCAAAAATGTCACCGTAGGTTTAATTTATAGACCCCTGACTCTAATTGTGAATTATTCTGTGACGAACTGGATTTTTATCTTCATAAAATAGGGGATGAAATAAACACATTTTTATCCTTGGTGACTTAACGTCAAGTTCTCCCCCTCATCTGATAACAGTAACTCAACTAATTGTATGCAGTTGATGCATTCATACGACTTTTTTTCGATTATTAATAAACCCACCACAATAAGTTCACATTCATCAACTCAGATTGACAATATTTTTTCAAACGTACATAATAACAAAACCATCGGTGGAATATTGTGTTCTGAAGTGTCCGATCACCTACCCATATTTTTAACTTGTGAATGCAAACTATCTTGCCGTAAATTACTTGATGAGCTTTATCGCAAAGAATCCAAATGTAATATAGAATTGCTGAAACAGGATTTATTTTTCGAGCGATGGGCTGAGGTATATAATGTAAATGATGTCAATACCGCATATAAACATTTTAGTAACAAATTGCAATATTATTATGAAAAGAATATTCCTTTAGGCAAAATGAAAAAAAAGCGAAATAAACCCAGGAATCCTTGGATAACGAAAGGTTTATTAAAATCAATACAAACACGCAATAGGCCTCTACAAATTACATTTACGCAATCCAACTAAAACTAACCTAAACACATATACAATTTATCGCAACAAATTAACAAAACTAATCCGTACATCCCGTAGATTGCATTTTTCTAATAGAACAAAAAAGGCCAGTTCAAACACTACTGCAACTTGGAAAATTATCAAACAGGTAATGGGGAAAACAAACAGCACAAAAATACATGATCCTAGTCTTTATGCAAATTCTTTTAATTCGTTTTTTTTTTTTTTTTTTTTTTTTTTTTTTTTATTTTCGGCCGGAACTAGCCAGCAAAATTAAATAGAACTCACGCTCACTTAAAAGACTATCTTTCCAATCAAAATCAAGAGTCTCTCTTTTTAAATCCGACAAATCCTAGCGAAATTATTCATATTACCCAATCTCTTAACAACTCAAAATCTCACGATTTTGATAAAATAAGTGGATCTCTCCTAAAAGAAATAATGTATCCACTTGCAAAGCCTTTAACTCACATATTTAATCACTCGTTATCGCAAGGTGCTTTCCCTAATCTATTAAATAGCTTAAGTCAATCCCATTCTCAAAAAAGATGATCCCCACGAAATTAGTAACTATCATCCGATTTCCCTACTTCCAAGTATATCCAAAGTCTTAGAAAAAATCGTTCATAATAGGCTACACAAAATTATCACTAAACACAAAAATACTCAATTCAAATCAATATGGCTTCAGGAAAAATTACTCAACTGACTTAGCATTAATTCAAACTTATGACAAAATTACAAGTGCCTTTTACAAGTGCTATTACATAGCTAACAAACATCATGTTATATTCTGTGACTTGAGTAAAACATTCGATACGCTCAATCACGCTGTTCTACTCTCCAAACTCAGTCAGTATGAAATTCGGGGTCAGTCACTCTTATGGTTTAAAGATTATTTAACAAACATAAGACAATATATTACATTTAACAGTTATAATTCCGATCCCCTATTAATTCAATGCGGTGTTCCTCAAGGCTCCATCTTAGGTCCACTGTTATTTCTTCTTTATGTAAATGATATTATCAATACATACCTCCTTCTTTCTTTTATCTTATTTGCCGATGACACAAATATCATAGAGACTTTGAATTATGAAATTAACAAAGTATCAAACTGGTTTAAGACCAATAAACTTTCTCTTAATACAAAAAAGACACATTATCGAAAGGGATTACACTAATTAAAAAAAAGGAGCACGTGTCAAAGTACAACGGGTAATTATCAGAAGGTGAAAATGGGGTACTTCTTACACCTAAAAAAGGGGTACTCACCAGTGCGAATGGGAAATGGGTATTTGTCAACGGAAAGAGGCACCCATCAGATTTTGATAGTGGCATTTATAAGAAGTGAAAAGGGGCATTTATGCAATAGGGATAGGTTCCTTATTAGAAAGGAAAAGGGGCACGTGTCATTGTTAAAAGGGTATTTATCAGAGGTGAAAAGGGGCACTAGTCGCATCTGAAAAGGGGCACTAATAATAAAGGGAAATGTTCATTTGCTGAAAGGAAAAGGGCACCGATCAGACTTTAATAGGGGCATTTATCGCGAGGTGGAGGGTGATTTATGAGAAGGGAGAAGTGGCTTTTATTAAAAAGAAAAAGAGGCACATGTTAAGATAAACGGGGCACTTATGAAAGATCAAAAGGGGGTAATCATGAGAAGGGTATGGGGCACTTATAAGAAGGTAAAAAGAGTATTTATTAGGAAGGAAAATGAAAGGGACAGTTGTTGAAGATAAAAAGAGCACTTATCAGGAGGAAAAGGGGCACTTTTCAAAATAAAACGAGTACCTCTCAGAATTTAATAGGGTCTTTTACCAGAGATGGAAAGGGGCTATGAGAAAAGGACTGTTTTGATGGATGAAAAGGGGCATTTATGAGAAAGGGAAGGGGCTTGTTTTTTAATGGGGGCTTTTTTTTAATTAGCAAGGAAAGGGGGCACATGTGAAAATATGAGGTGCGCTTATCCGAGTTAAAAAGGATTAGTTATTAAAAGGGGAAGGGGCACTTCTAACAAAGAAAGGGGGGCACTTGTCAAAGTAAAAGTAAAAGAGGCGCCTCTCAGATTTGACTAGGGCAATTATCAGAGGTGAAGGGGGCACTTACCACAAGTGAAAAGGGGCGCTTCTCGTATCTGAAAAGGGGCACTTATTAGAGATGAAAAGGGCACTTATGAAAATGGAAAATGGACAGTAATAAGAATGGAAAATGGACACTTATTGCAAAGGAAAATGGAAACCTGTCGAAGGAAAAGGGGTACGTGTCAAAATAAAAGGGGCACTTATCAGAGGTGGAAAGGGGAACGGGCACTTTTAAAAATTAATATGGGCACTTTTCAAATTAAAAGGGGCACTTTTTATGTAAAAAGGGGCACTTCTTACAAAGTTAAAAGGGCAATTTTCCTTTGTAAAAAGGGGCACTTTGGGGGTACTTGAAAACTCTGCCCCCCCCCCCCACCCCGGAGCGCCGCCTCTGTCTGTGGACCTGCCATGTCCTTCTTACCTTTCTTTTCCTTTGAAGTGTCCTTATCTTCCTCATCCCCGCTGGATCTGGAAATCTCGATGCGAAACAAAGGACATGATTTCTTGGAGTCCTCATCCACAAACGATTCTTTATTCGAGGACGCAGTCTCAGATCTTGTCACTTGTCTTCGCTTTGGCTTCTCATCTGAGACATCGTCCGCTTACGACGCTGTAAAAACATCATCAGTTTCAATCTCTTTCCTCCTCCTCTTTTTTGTGACTTTGCACTTTTTCTGCGGAGCTGCCCTGCCCTCCTTGTCTTTCTTTTGTTTTGAGGTGTCCTCATCCTCGCTGGATCTGGAGATTCTGCTGCCTGCAAAGGAAATACCTTGGTGCCCTCATCCACGGACGATTCTTCACTTGAGGACGCAGTTTCAGAACTCGACACTCGTTTTCGCTTCGGCTTCTCACCTGAGACACCGTCAATCGTTATCCTTCTCCTCTTTTTTGTGACTTTGCCCTTTTTCTGTGGAGCTGCTTTGACCTCCTTGCCTTTCTTTTTCTTTGAAGTGTGATCCTCATCTTCGTCATCCTCGCTATAATTGGTGATCAACAAAGGGCGTGATTTTAAAGTGCCCTCATCTTGGCCCTTACCTTTATTCCTCTTATCATCTCCTCCATTCTTGCCATCCCCACTTCCGCCGCCTCCTCCTATTCCATTCTGTCTCGCACTATTATTCCAGTCTTCATTTTTGTTTGCCTTCTTTTGAGCCTTCTTCTTTCTCCAAGGACGTGATTTCTTGGTGCCCTTATATGGGCCCGTTCTTTTCTTCTTCTTCTTCTTCTTATCATCTCCTCCATTCTTGCCATCCCTACTTCCGCCGCCTCCTCCTGTTCCATTCTGTCTCCTTTCACTATTATTCCAGTCTTCATCTTCTTCTGCCTTCTTTAAGGCCTTGTTCTCGCTCCGCTTGGATCCCTCACCATCCACTTCTACATCCACATCATCCTCATCACCCTCATCATCCTCATCATCCTCATCATCATCATCGTTATTATCCTCCTCGCCATGACAACCTAATTCGTCCATCAGAGGGTTTTCTGCCACTTCTTGACTCTCCCCTTTCTTGCTTTTCTTGTCGAGACTCTTCAATCTCAATCCAGAACATCCGTCACTCTCAGCATTAGACTCGTCATCAGAAGAAGAGTCGATTAAACTGCGAAGCTCACCGCTCTTGGGATATATCTTTACAGGAAATTTTCTGATCTTCTTTGCTTTCTTGGATGGATTTCCTTCTGATTCAGACTCCTTCTCAACATCAGCCTTTTCCTCCTCTCTCTTTGCAACACACTCTGCTTCGCCTTCTTCAGACTTATATTGGGCATCAGGTACATTCTCAAAAGCATCATCGCTATCAGTTGCCCAGTTACGTTCTCTTTTCAAGCCTCTAATGCCGTCATGCCTCTTCAGTTCCATTTCTACTTCAGAGGCAGAGGCTATCTTTTCTGGTTCACATTTCTTCTTTTTCCTGCTTAATCTTCTTCTTTGGGACTTGGTATTATCATCAACACCATCACCTTCTGCTGTATCCAGTGCACTCTCCTCATTTGCCGCTTCTTCGCCTGCCGATTCGTCCTTCTCCTGAGTATTATCATCACTATTCTCAGATTTACTCTCAGAAGATTTACTTTCACTTGCTGCAGAGCTATGCCTGCTTTTTCTTGTGACTGTCACTGCAGACATGTCCTTCTTTTTCTCAACTTTATCTTCCTTCTCCCCTCCTTCGTCCTGAGAGGATCCTGTAGAAGAATCTCCAGGAATTCCATCAAAACCAGACTCTTCTTCAGGATTACTCGAGTCCTCTCCTGGTCCTTCTCTCCTTTCGGCTGTTCCATACAGTTCCATTTCCTGTTCAGAGGCAGAGTCCATCTTTTCTGGTTCCCATTTCTTCTTTTTCTTGCTAGATCTTCTTCTTCGGGGCTTGGTATTATCATCACTATCCTCAGAAGATTCACTTTTACTCTCCTCTTTTGCCGCGTCTTCGCCTGCCGATTCCTCCTTCTCCTGAGTCTTAACCTTTGTCTCTTCCATCTGGGAGTTGTACTTCTCCTCAGGGTTTTCAAAATCCTCTTGATTGGTTCCATCAGGGACAATATAGCTGTTGTGTGCATCGCCGTGGATCTTCCTCTTTACGCAGGCCTCAAACTCTCCCAGTACGGTCTTGACCTCGCCGATATGCTTCAGGGACATGTTCATCTGGACCTTCTGCATGTCGGGCACGTTATTCTTGAGTCGCACCAAGCTCCTCATGAACAGAGCCCGATTGCTGATGTTCCCTACAAGATACTGAAGGAATTCCTCAGCGATGGCTGCATCCTGCATCTTCTTCTTCTTAGGTGCCTTCACTACCTTCTTCTGTACATAAACATTTGCCTTCTCTTTCACCTTCTGCTCTGTTTTAACAGACCGAGAAAGGAGAGCATGGCACTTGGCAACCAGTTCTTTAAGGGGTGCAGGATCACACACGTAGCACTTCCACTTCTTCTTTGATAATGTACGATTCCATTCGGCTCTTCCCAGGTTGCGCATGATGCAACGCTTGCAGAATGTCTTGCAGCAGGAGTCACAGCAGGATAGGGAGCCGCCTTGCCCACACCAACGACACTCCTCCTGATGCCGTCTTTATCTTGCTTCCAGGGACCACTGGTGTATAATTCCAAACATCCCTAAAACACACACAAATTTAAAGACAATTTTCCAACTATTACCGATTGAAAGGAGTTTATCAATAATAATTGCTGACAATCAATAGATAGACATATACTCACATTAAAACGTCATCACAATAATCATATTACTGAATTGCTGAACTCAGAAAGTCTTTATCTAGGAAAATTAGAGACTTTTATTTGTCCCCCTTTAGGTCCTTCTCATCATCCATGAGAATTTTTAATCACACGGCTTGGTTTTCCCCCAAGATATATCTTCCTAAATTTGAAATCCAGTTTCAACAAAGAAGTTAGAACAAAAAAAAATCCTATATACCACATCTAAAACCATATCAAATACAGAAATGAACAGAAACAAATTCAGATAGTTGTGTCCTCTATTTATAGGCCTAAAATAAAAACTTGTTGTATTGCCCTTTGCGACCGACCCAAAAATCTGAAAAATTACGGTCGGCATTTAAAAAAAAAAACGTTTTTCACCGTTTTTTTATATTTTTCTTTGGTTATTAATGAATACAAAAATATGTATTTTGTTTGTTTAAATGGGATATAAATGCATAAAATCAAATTATTCCTAAATTCTCACTCGTCTTCCGCCCTAGTTTAACACGGTCAAAGTAGATCCCGGCCTCGTGTACGTGTTTATACCATGCACTGCACCAGCTAGAAAGATTTTGGCGACGGTCGCTGTTTAGAGTTTTCTACGGAAAGGCTCACAACACTTTTATATTCATGACACATTTTGAAGGCACTAAAAAACATTGAAAATTTACTTAAAGATGAGATGAAAGGACACATACATCGAGACACATCTTAAATTTTTCATCAATTTGGAAGCCGTTGATATTCAAATCGAGCTTTCAAGGAGTGGATATTAACATGTTTTTCAATTGGTGGTCATTCAGTGCTGTCCGCGCGTGAATGAAATGCCGCGGTTTATTTATTAAAGTTTCCAGCAAGTGTAAGTTAGTTTGTAATTTTATAAATTGTACAACTCGGATTAAAACATGGAGATACATTGAGTTCAAACATTCATGTATTTGAATTGTTTAAATTCCTTGTCAGATTTAACTCATTTCGGACTCAAAAAACGGATACAAACATACAATTGAAACAAACAACCCCCAGAACTGAAACAGGAATGAAGAGCATATTCTTTGAAGTGAGCCAGTTTTAAAGATATAAACATTTGTAATAGGCTATGATTTAAACCTGTTGCATGCAAAAGTGTCTGGCTGTCTTATCCTGTGACAGTGTCGGTCCATTCTTTGGTTAGTAAAGAGACCACTCTGTACCCGGGACCTCCTGTATAATTTGTCCACAATTTTCACATTGCTAGCAAGTTTTACAGGTAGTTGAAAACCAACTTCGTCAACAGGAAAGCACAGAATGTTGTCTCAACACAACATTGCAAACCATGGATTATTATGAGATGAAAAAGATATCAATGGAATGATGACGCTGAAACACATGTATTAAAGCATTAAAAACTGAGAAATATCAGCCAAAAGAGGGCGGCAAAAAAAAACAAGTTTTTATTTTAGGCCTTACACACAGGTGTTATGGGGTAATTTAAATTCCTTCATTTTATTAGATAACAAAGTTGCTTTATACCAGAATTTCAACGTGACCTAATTTAAACTAGGAAATACGTCCATACTCTATAGGTCTGAACAAAATATGAACTGATATACATACACTTCAAACCATTGAAGCTCCAAAATAACACTCAAAATGATTTATAATACATATGCACATTCCTAACAATCACAAAAACTTTGGTCCTGATAATAACTTTGCTTTTGGCGAGAACAAAATATGATATGTGAACATATTTTGTGTAAAATCTGAGATCTGATCTAAGATGGAGGAAACATCTCTTTGCCCAATTCACATCACCCCACTCTCCCCACCCACTCCCTCAATGAAAGCTTCCCAAATAAATATATGATTTAATTTGATTGTATCAAATGACAAATAAATTAGACATCATACCTTACAGATGACCACACTCAGAACTGGGTGACGGCAGAAGGTTTTTTTGTTGAACGGGTTGACTTGGGTGTTGCATGCCGTACAGAACACAGATTTTACAGTTGGGGGTGCATCTGCAAATTATAGAATCCATAGTTAAAGTTGATACTCTAAGACAATCCCAAATACTGAGATAATTACATAAATAGAAAGCTTTTAACCCCCATAATAACACCAAATGGTGTCCACCCGACAAAACAAGTTTAGAATAATGAATTTATTCGAGTAAACTCTACCAAAATATCTAAGTCTGAAACCCGGAAGTGCACGTAGAGTCGGGCCTCTATCCGTGACGTCACGAACGGGAGTCATGGGCTCAGTGAGAGTGAATGGCAGTGATATCCCTACGTAAATGCTATCCTGTCAGAGCTTAGATTTGTTGTTGTTAAGGAGTATATTTGATGGATTTTCTGTTTTCATTTGAATGAAGAATAACGAAGCAACATTTTCCAGTCGCTGATTTCTTTTTATATCCTCATATTCACCTATTTGGTAGAGATTTAAGACGAGTTTACTGCTTAGGAATTAAAGTTAAATCGTGCACTTATGAATAGGCGGATGCATTATATTGTCATCAGAACTGATGTACATGAGCAGTTTTGTAAAACGAATAGGTCTAGAACTATGATAGTACTTATCATAGATGTGTGTGACTGCCTCAAAAAAGGATACAGTACCAGTTAAACATTTTATGTTGTAAAATATCAAACTTGAACGAGATCATGCAAGCGCGCTTCCTCTATAATATTTTGGCGAGTGATGCGGCTCTTGCATGAACGTTCGTGGAGCGAGCAGAATCGGGAGGTAAGACCAAGCCGCTGCTCTAGGCGCTGCTTGCTTGTGATGGAACGTACGTGCGCTAGTTATATGTTTATCGGCAATTGCAAGAGAATGAAAGCGACGTTGCCAGCTAAGAAAAACAACTAACAAAGACTTGCTCCTGACTACCGGTATCAGAATTGGTAGATGAAGGATGTTCAGGGCCAAGGAAGGCGAAAGACATGGGAAAAAGGAAGAAGAAACCATCGGGAGATCGCTGTAGTGTATGGTAATGAACTGTGCATGGGTAGACAGCTACTATTCACTCCGTGCCTGGGCCGATTTCAACACCAAAACAAAAATTACATGGTGAAAATATCGACTAATAGCACATCGTTGGCATGTATATGTCATAATTTTTAAAAGGGGAATTGATATTAATACTATGAAGTACTAGGGGAAGGTAAAGAATTGTTCATAGAATTATGATTTATAAGACTTTTCAGCCTTTGAAACAAAAATATGCAGAAAATCGTATCACTCTGCACATGTTTGCTATGGAACATCCGGGTACGTGAATATACTCTCTCCCGGACGTGAGGTCATAAATAGTAGACCAGCGTCGTGACTGATTTTCTATGCAAAACGAGGCGGATATTTTAGACATTTCAATTGAGGATTTCGAGTAGACAGAATTTTTTGTGATATACTAAGTAATTGAAAAACTTAAAAATAACATATACTTGCCGTAGGTAACAAATTAAGGGACATTTATTTGCTTAGAGTATCAACTTTAAAGACCTTCTCCAACGAAACTACAATTATATATATAGTGCATCCAAAACAAAGCTCTAGTGTATCTCAACTCTCCCATCGTACGCTACGAATCTGCTCGTCCTGGCATTCGCTCTTGTACTGACAGCACCCTAGCTGCTACACGTTCCTCGAACATACACCAAAGCTGGCGACAATGCTTTCCGTGCATGTGCTCCTCGACTCTGGAATGAGCTTCCTCGTTTTATTCGATTATCACCTTCGCTTGATGTCTTCCGAAAATGTCTCAAAACTCTCCTCTTTGACCATGATCAACAACTTCTTTGATAATTTTTATGTAAAGCGCTGTGAAACAACAATTAGTTTGTAAGAGCGCTATATAAATGATTTTATTGTATTGTATATATCAATGGAAAGCTGATTGGACGTAGAATAGAAAAACATACACATACAACTCTGTACAACCGGTGGCTATAGCCTCTTCATACGGTGACGTCGTCAAGTCGTCTTGCGTTTTTCGAGAAATTGTGTCCGGGTTTTGGTGCTCTTGAATTCAAGCTTTCAAACAACTACTTCTCCTCTGCATGACACTTTGTGAGCAAATAGTAGCAAGTATTGTATTATATGGCTCATAAGCTTCAGTTTGATATAAGATTCATCCATTTCACTTTTTCAGTTCAGATATGGTCTGTAAGAGTAAGTTATAGAGTCAGGGACAATTCTGGATTTATTGTGTATGCAAGTATTCATGAGACTATAGTCGATATTTTAAGACATAAAATAACAGATGAATTACACAAAGGGGCAAAAACACAATCAGTAAATGGGCAAGTCCAAGTTAATATGTCCACATAATACTGATCACGTTACAGTTTCAGTATACTCGATGGTTGTTGATAAGCCTACATAAGCTTGGCTCATGCAGACTAAACATCAAAGAAATGATACTTTCAAATTTTAAATCAAGCTCTCTATCCCACAAACCTCGGTCATGTATGGAACACCTAACAAAATGTAGTCCTTGGCCTTGCCTAACTATTTGAATAGGAGGAAAGGAGCGGTTTCTTACTCTGATTGTTAGAATCTTTTCTTTCTTTCAGCTCGGGAGGAAACTTTTTTCTTAATTCCTTGCTCTTGTACCCATCTTCCTCTCCATCTGGCTGGACGATGACTGTACCTGAGATAAGAGGAAAATATTTTAAAAAACTTCAAGGAATAATAATAATAATAAGAAGAAGAATAATTAGCTCAATAATATAGCGCAGCTACCTGGCAATCCCAAAATTTGATCAC